CCCCTATGCATGGCAGGGCTGGGGTCCCTGCGGGGAGCCACCCCGAGCAGCCACGGAGAGGGGTGGGTCAGGGCCAGTGTTCCCTGTAAGCTGGGCGCTTGGCGGCCACCCAGGAGAGATTCAGATGCCACCCAGTGGATTAGCAGAGTCCCGCTTGCATATGTTCCTAGTGGTGGTGCATATCTCTGCATGCCTCAGTGCACAGAACAAAATTTAATCCGCATATAGATGGAAAACATTAGAGGGAACAGTGGTCGGGGCCTGCCTCTCCTGGCTCCACAGTGCTGCTCCGGGGGTTCCCACAGAAATCCGTGCCTGTGAAAGGGGGGGAGTGCGTATGGCAGGCTTCTGACATGGGGAACAGCCAGGTTCGCACAGCAGGACAACATTCTTGTGTGGCAGCCTCCGCACAAGCTGGGAAGGCAGGCAGAGGGGGCAGGCCATGGCAGGGGGCACTAGGAAGGTGGTGACAAGAAGGGCCTCGGCACCCCATGGGGCTCTGGCAGAGCAGGGGCGGTGGCTGCAGTGGAGAAGGATCTTGCACCAAGACAGTGGCGGATCGTGGGGAGGGTTGGGCCGTGGCACAGGCTGGGCAGGTGCTGGATGGGCAGAGGCTGGATAAAAGCCGAGGGGTGGGTTGCAACTATGCAGGATGGATCTGAGCTCCGGAGAACAAACTGCTAGGCTGGCCGTCAGGCTCACTGCCCTGGAGCAGCACAGAGCTCCAGCTGCCCTCGGCCTAGGGCTGGCAGATCCTGCTGGGGGCTGCCGTCCACGTCTGGGGGATGAGTCGGGGGTGTGTGAGTGTGAGAGACTAGGCAATGAACGGGAGCAACCAGTCCCACGACTAAGCCCGCGGGCAGCAAGCGCCCTGCCGTGGTGCCAAGCAGCCCCTAGGGTTGCAGGTGTCTAGTTTTGAACCAGACAGTCCGGTATTTGAGGTTTCTCTCCAGGAAACAAACTGAGAAAATAGCGGACATAGAAATGTCTGGTATTTTCTAATTGAGTTAATTTTATTATTATCAGGAGTATCAGTACGTAGTTGCGTACTGCCTGGCAGACACACACTCTGCATGAGCACGTCTACCAGCCAGGCAGTACGCAACTATACGGGGGGGGCAAGGCCGGGGCCGGATGGAATCCCGGGGCCGGACTCACTCAGGACCATACGCGGGATGGGCAGCACCCCGGGATCTGTGTGCGCCTGAGTCAGCCCTGCTCCCCCATTCTCTCCAGCTGCCAGAGGAACCCTGCTGAGGCCAGCCCTGGAGAGGGGGCAGGAACCAGGCCCTGGCTCTAGCTTGCACCAGTCCTCCCATCACTGTGGGCTCTGGCCCACTCAGCTCATCATCCCACAGGCAGAAATTGGGGGAGGCAGGGCCCTGCAGCCTCTACACAGAACCCCCCCAGCTGCCATGGGCCTTGCGAGTGGGCTGGCTTCCCTGTTTCACCTCCTTTAGCCCCAGGGCTGGCTGTAAAGCCCCCTCCGCCCAGTAACCATGACTCCCTGGCACTGGGGGAGGTGCCCTGCCCCACCCAGGCCAAGGGCTAAGCCTTGCGCCTTTCTGTCCCTCTGTGTGTTGCAGCCTCTGTCATCCGGACCCCCCCAGCTGCCATGGGCCTTGCGAGTGGGCTGGCTTCCCTGTTTCACCTCCTTTAGCCCCAGGGCTGGCTGTAAAGCCCCCTCCGCCCAGTAACCATGACTCCCTGGCACTGGGGGAGGTGCCCTGCCCCACCCAGGCCAAGGGCTAAGCCTTGCGCCTTTCTGTCCCTCTGTGTGTTGCAGCCTCTGTCATCCGGATGAGGGCCACGTCCGCAGGGAGCAAGTCACAGCCTGCCCAGGAGCTGCCAACCTGCACCGTGCAGGTGAAGACCGGTGAAGCCCCGGGGCAGCTGCCAAGCAAGGGGGGGGTGGCCAGCCCGTGAACCGCACAGCCCCCCCCCCCCCCCCCCCCCCCATGTACATATCGTGCTCTGTCGCCACACAGGGCGGCCGTGGCCAGGTGTCCCTGCTGCGCCTGGCTCCTGGAGGGCCGGACCCGCAATGTCTCTGGCACCAGGCAGCGAGAGGGGTTTCTTACTGGGCAGGGCCCTCCCCAGCCCTCAGCTCCACCAGGAGCTCTACAGGGGGCAGACATATGGGGGGGGCCGCCCGGCAGCATGTCACCTCATTATAAACCACTCCCCCACCCAGGCCCACTGAGGAATCACTGCATGAGACCTGAGGCTCTGAACAAGAGCCCGAGCGTGGCAGCAGGCGAGGCCTCCACCAGACAGCCCAGATTTCTCTGCCCAGGCCTGTCCGCTCTCTGGAGCAGGCAGGGGCCCTTGCGCTCCCCTCCCCGTCCCAGCACGGCTCTTGGGAAGCAGGAGCCCCCGTGCTGCTGCCCTCGTGAGGAACTCCATAAAGTTTTCACTTTCCTGAGGCTCTGAACAAGAGCCCGAGCGTGGCAGCAGGCGAGGCCTCCACCAGACAGCCCAGATTTCTCTGCCCAGGCCTGTCCGCTCTCTGGAGCAGGCAGGGGCCCTTGCGCTCCCCTCCCCGTCCCAGCACGGCTCTTGGGAAGCAGGAGCCCCCGTGCTGCTGCCCTCGTGAGGAACTCCATAAAGTTTTCACTTTTCTAAACTGCGTCCGGCGGGATCGTTTCAGGTGGGCACCGAGGCGCCAACCTCACTGCGGGTGGGGGCAGGGTTACCAATCACACTCCCAGGGCCTGGGCACTGGGCCAGGGGCATGAGGGATGGCTGGGGACAGCCACTCTTACCAGGGTAGCATCTTGCAGCCTATGCCGGCAGAGCATTGAGGCCAACGCTGACCTCAGTTATATGCCTGTAAATGTGGAGGAAGCCCCCTCAAAATGACAGGAGTTACACCAGCGTGAGATCAGCAGCTGGTCTTTTGCCTCTGTGTCAGAGCTAAGCCAACTCCGGCGTGGCAGGAGGAAAGCTGTTCCCACCTGGGAGATCCATGCTGGCCTCAGTGGCTTAAAACTGTTAGATGCTCTCCCCTACCTAGGACTAGTTCCACCTTTGCTTACACTCATGGAGGCTGCCTGTCTGCCCATTATGGGGTGGAAAGGCACAGGGGACGTGACTTGCCCATGGCTGTTGGTGGGAGCGGTGGGATTTAGAATGCAGTAGTCCCCTGCGCCTCTGAATACCTGGGAAACACTAGCAGGAAAAGGCTGAGGGTACCCCACTCTGGAGAGGTTGTTCCTGAGGGGGAATAGAGAGCTGGGCCATCCAAAGCAACATTACTGAGCCCCATGGAGCAGTCTGTGGCCAGTGCTGCAGTGCACTGGGCTGCAAGAACTGGGCCTGGAGCAATGCCAGCACCAATGCAGGTACCAGAACATGCAGCCAGTGGCAGCAGCATTGTGGAGGTGCAGAAATATCCACATTTAATGCTCCCTCTGACAACACCAAGGCACAGGCTGTTCTGGGAACAAGCACCCTTGTCAGGCAAACAGAGCGCAGAAGACAAGCAGGTGGCTCTGCAGTGCGTCCCTGCCTGCCACTGGCAGCGTCAGCCTGCAGCCACGCAGAGCACGAATCGTATGCATAATCCAGCCCGGTAACTGGCTCCTTTGGTGTGAAACGTGGGCACTGCAGCTCGGCACCAGTGTCACTTCTGGCTCAGCCAGACCCTCTCTCAGGCACTGTGGCCTGGTCATCCAGGTCCTGGCCTAGGGGAGCCCTAGGTATAAGTCCCACATGGCCTAGGATGAAAAGTCTGCTCTGAGTCAGGCAGAGCGAGGCCTGGAAGCTGGGTCTCCCCCCTCCCTAGGCATTTCAACACGATCCCATTTCACAACAGCCCCCGGGTTTGACACCTGCCCATTGAGGAACAGAAACAAACGATGAAACCATCATGTTGCCCTGAAGCAAAGCGTCGTCCTGAGTCAGTGCTAGAGAGCAGCTGCCCCCAACAGCCTGCATTCCCAAGGCCCGAGCCACACAGCTAGAGTAACTGTGGGCCGATGGGGCAGTGTGTGAATAGCTTCGCTCTGCAGCGGGAGCCGCTTGCGGGGGCTTTGGCCAATTGCCTGCCTGCAGTGAGGGCTCTTGTGGGGTTCTCTGCCTGAGGCAGCAGGGAGCAAGGGTCCCCTTTCCATCTGTGCTTTCCCAGCACATGGGTGAGGTTGGCACTCTGGCCAGCTGAAGTCCTGTCTGGCGGGTTATGGAAGGAGCCTGGAGAAATGGCACATCAAACAGCCCACGATCCCAGTTACTAGATTGCGTGCAGAGGATACTGGTTTCAGATGCTGCGGCTGGGTCTCTCTGGCAGCAGGGTGGCCTAGTGGTTAGATCCCAGAGTTAGCCTGCAGAAAAGGGGTGGAGAACCATGCTACTGATGCCCCAGCCTAAAAACACCAGTGCATAGTCCTTGAGTTTGGGGCATGATCCCCAGAATCCAGGTTTTACCTTTAGCTAGGGTTCTAGCAGGTTTCCCCCTTTATCCCAAGGTGAGAAGAGAATTGGAGGCTTACTTGCTCCTGTGACTGGCCAAGCAGATGGACTTTGCATTAGGTCCAGTCCTGCAGCCAGCAGAACCACACTCCTACTTCCTTGCTGGTTGGTAGCCAACTGAGCCAGGCTCCTTCCTTTTATCCTCCCTCCAGGCCTTGCATTGGCTACAGGTAAAGTGGGGCGGGGCTAGCTGGGCCAGATGGCTTTGTTTAACCCTTGAAATGCCAGGCCCTCTGCTCTTCACTCCCTCACAGATGCTTTAAGGCCCAGTAGTTTCTGCAAAGGTATATCGTTCCGTCTTTTTTCTTTATGAAGAGGACTGGAGCCAGATGGAGAGGTGCAGTACTAGGTGAAGCCCTTGGATGGGTTTTCCTGGATGTTTATGAACAGCTGCCAGTTTCAGCTTGGACATGGCATAGATGAGTCCATATGGAGCCTTTGCCCTGGGTGGCGAGACCTATAGGGCAATTGTAGTGTCTGTGTGGAGTTAGCGCGTCCATGTTCTTTGCAAAACCATCTGAGTAATCCCAGTTCTTTTCAGTGAGATGGAAATTTAGGCTTGGGCGTGATTTCTTCTGACTAGCTGCCATCAGCTGGAGTCTTCCCACTGGTGCTGGCACTTCTGACTGGCCCCAGGAGCAGGCGGTTGGGACTGGCTGCGTGCAGGCAGACCCTTTGGCAATATTCAGAGGGGACGGTGCGTCTCTGGGAGAGACAAGAGGACCAAGGGTCATGCTGCTCCAGCCAGAGGACAATGAGAGTTAGTGGGGAATGGATCGCACTAAATTGTAGCACTTCCCGATGGCCCTGATAATCGTAGAACACTAGGACTGGAAGGGACCTCCAGAGATCAAGTCCAGGCCCCTGCCCTCAGGGCAGGACCAAGCACTGCCTAGATCAGCCCTGTTAGATGTTTATCTTTCTCTTAAATATCAAACCTGCCACAGCCTCCCTGGGCAATTTATCCCAGTGCTTAACTACCCTGACAGCAAGGAAGTTTTTCCTAATGTCCAACCTAAACCTCCCTTGCTGCAGTTTAAGCCCATTGCTTCTTGTTCTATCCTCAGAGGCCAAGGAGAACAATTCCCCCCGTCCTCCCTGAGGCACCCTTTTAGATACTTGAAAACCACTAGCGTGTCCCCTCTGGCTTCTCTTTTCCAAACTAACCAAGCCCGACTCCTTCAGCCTTGCCTCGCAGGTCGTGTTTTCTAGACCTTTCATCAGTTTTGTTGCTCTTCTCTGGACGGTTGCTCCAGCCGACGTGTCCCAGGAGCATGTGGAAAGTGCCAGCGTGGACCCCCAGTCAACTCCACCCCTTTGCTGGGAGGGCTGCCAGCGGCTCGGGGCGGCACCCGAGGGTGGGAGAGATGTGGCCCACGCCTTGAACTGACTTTAACATTTTTAAACCTGCCACAGCCTCCCTGGGCAATTTATCCCAGTGCTTAACTACCCTGACAGCAAGGAAGTTTTTCCTAATGTCCAACCTAAACCTCCCTTGCTGCAGTTTAAGCCCATTGCTTCTTGTTCTATCCTCAGAGGCCAAGGAGAACAATTCCCCCCGTCCTCCCTGAGGCACCCTTTTAGATACTTGAAAACCACTAGCGTGTCCCCTCTGGCTTCTCTTTTCCAAACTAACCAAGCCCGACTCCTTCAGCCTTGCCTCGCAGGTCGTGTTTTCTAGACCTTTCATCAGTTTTGTTGCTCTTCTCTGGACGGTTGCTCCAGCCGACGTGTCCCAGGAGCATGTGGAAAGTGCCAGCGTGGACCCCCAGTCAACTCCACCCCTTTGCTGGGAGGGCTGCCAGCGGCTCGGGGCGGCACCCGAGGGTGGGAGAGATGTGGCCCACGCCTTGAACTGACTTTACATGAGGGGGCAGCCTGAGGGACTGTCCCACACCTGCTGCATGTGAACACCTCCCCGGCCGCCTGCCAGCCCTTGGGCCCCCCCAGAGCTGGCTGCAGGCCCTGCCCTCTGTGCCCATGTGCAGACACCTCCCCCCACCGCTGCCCTGAGCGAAACCTGCTGAAATCCCTGCCGAGATCCCTGCACTTGGGTGCACAGCAGGACTGACCCCCCGCTTATGGCTGAGCCGCAGGGCCAGTGCAGAGATCAACTCCCCGGGCTATGCTGGACCTGCAAAGGGCCCTGGGGTGAAGCTGAGCTAGGCCTCTCCCTGTCCCTGCCCTGAGGTCTTTCCAAGCCAGTTTCCATCTCCTCCCACATGCCATCCCGGGCACACAGGCAGCCCCCCGACACCCAGCGCCCTCCGCTAGCAAGGACAAGCCTGGCAGGCCAAGGGACTGAAGCAGCAATGCATTCTGGGTAAAAACATCCCGCTTTCACAGGCTAACGCCCTGGCCATGGTTGGGACAGGGACCCTGGCCCAGGGCTGTTCTGTGCCAGGCTGGTCCATGCCCCCGCTCCTCAGAGACCTGTCCTGCTGCTAGGACATGCCTCATGCATGAGGGGAGCAGCGAGGAAACCCAGCAGCCCACCCCACTCTGCCCTGCCATGCTCCGCTTGCCCATCAGTCCTCGCTGTGCCTGCCCCAGGCAGCCCTGCAGCTGTGCTTAGCCCACCCTGGGATCCCGGCAGCCAGGGGAGCTGGAGGCAAGAGCTCACTGGCTGCCCTGCTTCCTGCTGCTAGGACATGCCTCATGCATGAGGGGAGCAGCGAGGAAACCCAGCAGCCCACCCCACTCTGCCCTGCCATGCTCCGCTTGCCCATCAGTCCTCGCTGTGCCTGCCCCAGGCAGCCCTGCAGCTGTGCTTAGCCCACCCTGGGATCCCGGCAGCCAGGGGAGCTGGAGGCAAGAGCTCACTGGCTGCCCTGCT